TGAGTGCTCCAGTCTTCCCATCTGATGGTCATGACAAGAAAAGACCTCAGGCTCAGCAGAGAAATTTCTCTTACTGATCTTTGAAGAAACTGAGCACACTCTCATTCTGATGTGCCGTGTGCTAGCAAAACATTGGAATTCATGGGTTCATGGCTGAGAGAGAAAAGTATCCATCTTTTGGCCTTTACCAGCCGGAGAATCTTCGAGTCTTAATGCTCCTCCTATTCAATTTTTTCATTCGTATTCTTGCACTTGACTTCTGGTTGCAACAAAGTCCAAGCTAAAGATTTTGTCACTTTCTTAGGGTTTGATCAATCACCTGTGACACTGTGGTCTAGAACATAAAAGCTTTATTTAAAATGTTAAAAACAATTAAAAACATAAAATTAATAGTTCATCTGTAATAAAATTAATCAACCCAACCATTAAAACATTTCTCAAATGCAACTCCCAAAAAAGAAAAACGCAAAAACAAGGTGACATTACTTTTTCAAAATTAGTTTCTTCCACGGCATAAGGGAAATACAATTGATATTCCTCTAAGTTCTTGTGCCCTAATATCCTTGAGTAAGAGTAAACTTGCAACATAAGTATCCGCATGATTGTCAAGATAACAATGCCCCGGCAACCTAACTCTGGTTTCGTTGATTTGCTTCGTTTGAAGATTGAATATAGCCAGATAACGTCGATCATTCTTTCGGTACTCCAAAAGGAGTTCATCATTCGTTTTAAAGCCCAACGGTACAGGAGACGTTCCAGGAAACCAAACAGTGTGCAGCTTGTGTAAACACTTCTCCTGGAGAACCCATATGTCGATGTGGTCGTCTCGCCCACTTTGCAATAATAAGCAAACTGACTCCTTGTACGCATGAATGTGATTGAAACCATAGTATTGAAGGGTGTTGTCCCAAATAGCCTCCGGCAGTAACACTTTTTCAAATACCTCACTGCCGGTATCGAACGACACAAGATGAAAGCTAAAATCCTTTTTCGCTTGCATAATCCAGTATGCTACCCCATTAGAAACTGCATGTCCAGAACTCCAATTCATGGAAATTATCCAAGGAGGAAGTACACCAATGCTCTTCCAAGAGTGTGTACTTAAACTGTAAACCTCCATTTCAATGTAGTGCTGAAGATAAGTCGTTACCAACCTTACTACTTTGTAGTCGTTGAGCCCGGGGTTGAACCCGAATGCAAGAACACATCGATATTCGAATTTGGGAGGGCAAGAAAGGTTGGTGACTGGAAGGCGGACATATTTCATTATTGATGGGTTACATATGATTACAGGACTATTCAAATCCGGACTATTAGATGATAGACAAAGTAAACCATTACTTGAACCACGTAGTCGTAAACCTCCCATGTCCAAGCATCTTGCCTTAAATGTTTCGTTAAAGAAAATGGAACGGCGAATTTTGGGTTTGCCTTCAGTGCACCGGAGGCCAACTAGAAAAGCATGGTTAAGGTTTTTGACATAACTAACATGTCTGCCAATAAAACTCGAGCTTCCAATCAAATCATTCCATGACTTGAAAACACACATAAACCGAACAAGGGATTTTACCGGTAGTCTTAGTAGGATGTTGATCAAGATTTCTTCGGGGATGTAAATGGAATTCTCGCTGCTTGTGGACCTCATCCTGAGGAAGATACAATAGAGAAAATAAATTAGAAAACAAACTCGGGAAACAAATCTAGACCCAGTGCTACAGGGAAGAACAAGAAAAAGGAAAGACGTTTATAAACAGTTCTTGAACTTTCAAAATCTCATACCAAAACACACATGTAATGTGATAACATAGCATGCGGCACATATCAAAATCACTTTCAAGAGAGAGAAACGCACACGTACTGTTTTATGTCGAGTGTTTTTCAACATCAAATTTTTAACCAATCATGCTTTAATATATTAAATGTATGCAGCAAAGAAAAATATAAGCAGTGGCAAACTTAGACAGAAGACAAATTGTTGTTTCCTTGGTTGGAGCAAGAACTCCGTACGTGAAAAGCAAAATCTATGAAGAAACCCAACATATCTAAAGAAATACACCCTTACCTGAGAAGCTTGGCTATCGATTATGAGATTTCAAGACAAGGGAAGGGACCATATATATGGGAAAGGAGAGAGGGCAGGGAGAGAAAAATAAAAAACCTTGACATCTATATATATATTGGATCAATGGAAGAAACATACACCTTACCTGTTTTAAGATGTTGCTGACCAATCAGAAAAGCTAACTTCCAAGTTGAAAAAGGAAAGGTCAATCTGACCACAAAACCTTTCTAACAAATAATATTTTCGATGCAATATAAAGATTATATTGGGCCGATTGTAATAACCCGATGGACATGTAACATTATAAACCTCTAATTGATGATTACATATGCATATAGATGACGCAACATGACAATAGATTGATTAAAATCTTAGCTTAGAACATGTAACTCTAGAATCCACCAGGAAGATATGAGGAAACCTTAAAGTTTATTTGATAAATTGGAATAACAAAACATGACCCTAGCCACGAGTTAAATCTGTTTAAGCACTCCTAGAAGGGATTAAACAAGGAATTAAAATAGGAAAATAACAAAGTTTCCAAAAATTGTAAAAACTTTAAAGTAAGATTTCGGGCTAGAAACTTTAAGATTAATGCTTTTTTTTTTTTG